CTTACATTATTCGAACTATTGTCCTCATCTTTGTCGCTATATTTATAAATATGGCGACAAAGATGAGGACAATCGTCCGAATAATGTAAGTAATGAACATAATACATCATCTCAGAAATATAAACAGATACTGAAAGGCTGAAACGTTGTAATAAATATGACGACAAAGATGAGAACAATAGTCCGAATAATGTAAATAATGTACATAATACCTCATCTCAGAAATATAGACAGATTCTACATGTAGTTATGGATAATTATACCTTAATTACTATTTTTTTAATTAATAACTATTTGTATTCAATTGTTAATCTATCTGCTGATGTATTGAAACTTTGGAATAATGCAATAATAAAAAATTAAATTTCATGTTGCGATCTGTAAAACTGTTTATTTCTTTTACTTTTTTTCTGTCTTCAATGTCACTTTTTCGACATTTTTTTGTTTGCTTCAGTTTTCGTACTATCCCTCGTTTTTTTTTTTCATTTAAAATAGATTTTTCTTTACTTCTTCATTTCATTTCTCTTCTTGCTCTCTTTCTTCTTTGCTTATCGACTTTTTCGCTCTCTCTTCGGTAGTAATCTTCTTTTCATCTCCATCTTTTCTCCTTACCCTCTTTTCTTACCTTCACTCTTTTCTGCTTTCCCTATTTTTCTCTCTCTCCTCGGCTTATTCTCTTTTTCTCCCTCTTCTCAAATTACCTTCTGCTTCTCTCACTTCTCGACGTATCTTCTTTTTTTCTCTTTTTCTTTCCTATACCCTTTTTCTTTCTCTCTCTTTTTTTTCTGCTTATCTTTTTTCTCTCTTCTCTTCTTATCCCCCTTTCTCCTTTCTCTTAACAGCTTACCTTTTCTTTCTCTCTCTCTCTCTTCTCTAATCCTCTTTCTCTTTTCTACTCATTCTTCTTCTTTTCTCTTCATCCTTTCTTCTTTTCTCTCTTCCTTTTTTATCTCCCCTCTCTTCTCCTTCCTCTTTAACTCTTTTCTACTTATCCTTTTCTTTCTCTTCTCTTCTTTCTCTTTCTCTTAACTCTTACCTTTTCCTCTTTCTTATTCTAATCCTTTTCTATTCTTTTTCTACTCATCCTATTCTTCTCTCTTCTCTTCTTATACCCCTTTCTTCTTTCTCTTAACAGCTTACCTTTTCTTTCTCTCTCTCTCTTTCTCTAATCCTCTTTCTCATTCTCTTTTCTACTCATCCTATTCTTCTCTCTTCTTTCTTATCCCCCCTTTCTTCTTTCTCTTAACAGCTTACCTTTTCTTTCTCTCTCTCTCTTCTGTAATCCCTTTCTCATTCTCTTTTCTACTCATCCTATTCTTCTCTCTTCTCTTCTTATCCCCCTTTCTTCTTTCTCTTAACAGCTTACCTTTTCTTTCTCTCTCTCTCTCTTCTCTAATCCTCTTTCTCATTCTCTTTTCTACTCATCCTATTCTTCTCTCTTCTCTTCTTATCCCCCTTTCTTCTTTCTCTTAACAGCTTACCTTTTCTTTCTCTCTTTCTCTCTTCTCTAATCCTCTTTCTTATTCTCTTTTCTACTCATCCTATTCTTCTCTCTTCTTCTTATCCCCTTTCTTCTTTCTCTTAACAGCTTACCTTTTTCTTTCTCTCTCTCTTCTCTAATCCCCCTTTCTTATTCTCTTTTCTACTCATCCTTTCTTCTCTCTCTCTTCTTATCCCCCTTCTCTTTTCTTAACAGCCCTTTTTTTCTTCTCTTCTCTAATCCTCTTTCTTATTCTTCTTTTTTCTCATCCTATTCTTCTCTTTTTTTTCTTATCCCCCATTCTTCTTTCTCTTAACCTTACCTTCTTTCTTTTTCTCTTTTCTCTTTTCTACCTCATCCTATCCTCTTCTCTTCTCTTCTTATCCCCTTTTCTTCTTTCTCTTAACAGCTTACCTTTTCTTTCTCTCTTTTTCTCTTCTCTAATCCTCTTTCTTATTCTCTTTTCTACTCATCCTATTCTTCTCTCTTCTCTTCTTATCCCCCTTTCTTCTTTCTCTTAACAGCTTAACCTTTTCTTTCTCTCTCTCTCTTCTCTAATCCCCTTTCTCATTCTCTTTTCTACTCATCCTATTCTTCTCTCTTCTCTTCTTATCCCCCTTTCTTCTTTCTCTTAACAGCTTACCTTTTCTTTCTCTCTTTTTCTCTTCTCTAATCCTCTTTCTTATTCTCTTTTCTCTCATCCATCCTTCTTCTTCTCTCTTCTCTTCTTATCCCCTTTCTTCTTTCTCTTAACAGCTTACCTTTTCTTTTCTCTCTTTCTCTCTTCTCTAATCCTCTTTCTCATTCTCTTTTCTACTCATCCTATTCTTCTCTCTTCTTTCTTATCCCCCTTTCTTCTTTCTCTAACATCTTAACCTTTTCTTTCTCTCTCTAATCCCCTTTCTCATTCTCTTTTCTTCATCCTTTCTCTCTTCTCTTCTTATCCCCTTTCTTCTTTCTCTTTTTAACCTTTTCTTTCTCTCTCTCTTCTCAATCCTCTTTCTCATTCTCTTTTCTACTCATCCTATTCTTCTCTCTTCTTCTTATCCCCTTTCTTCTTTCTCTTAACATCTTAACCTTTTCTTTCTCTCTTTTTCTCTTCTCTAATCCTCTTTCTTATTCTCTTTTCTACTCATCCTATTCTTCTCTCTTCTCTTCTTATCCCCCTTTCTTCTTTCTCTTAACAGCTTACCTTTTCTTTCTCTCTTTCTCTCTTCTCTAATCCTCTTTCTCATTCTCTTTTCTACTCATCCTATTCTTCTCTCTTCTCTTCTTATCCCCCTTTCTTCTTTCTCTTAACATCTTAACCTTTTCTTTCTCTCTCTCTCTCTTCTCTAATCCCCTTTCTCATTCTCTTTTCTACTCATCCTATTCTTCTCTCTTCTCTTCTTATCCCCCTTTCTTCTTTCTCTTAACAGCTTACCTTTTCTTTCTCTATCTCTCTTCTCTAATCCCCTTTCTCATTCTCTTTTCTACTTATCCTATTCTTCTCTCTTCTCTTCTTATCCCCCTTTCTTCTTTCTCTTAACAGCTTAACTTTTCTTTCTCTCTTTCTCTCTTCTAATCCTCTTTCTCATTCTCTTTTCTACTCATCCTATTCTTCTCTCTTCTCTTCTTATCCCCCTTTCTTCTTTCTCTTAACAGCTTACCTTTTCTTTCTCTCTCTCTCTCTTCTCTAATCCTCTTTCTCATTCTCTTTTCTACTTATCCTATTCTTCTCTCTTCTCTTCTTATCCCCCTTTCTTCTTTCTCTTAACATCTTACCTTTTCTTTCACTCTTTCTCTCTTCTCTAATCCTCTTTCTCATTCTCTTTTCTACTCATCCTATTCTTCTCTCTTCTCTTCTTATCCCCCTTTCTTCTTTCTCTTAACAGCTTACCTTTTCTTTCTCTCTCTCTCTTCTCTAATCCTCTTTCTCATTCTCTTTTCTACTCATCCTATTCTTCTCTCTTCTCTTCTTATCCCCCTTTCTTCTTTCTCTTAACAGCTTACCTTTTCTTTCTCTCTCTCTCTCTCTAATCCTCTTTCTCATTCTTTTTTCTACTCATCCTATTCTTCTCTTTCTCTTCTTATCCCCCTTTCTTCTTTCTCTTAACAGCTTACCTTTTCTTTCTCTCTCTCTCTCTTCTCTAATCCTCTTTCTCATTCTCTTTTCTACTCATCCTATTCTTCTCTCTTCTCTTCTTATCCCCCTTTCTTCTTTCTCTTAACAGCTTACCTTTTCTTTCTCTCTCTCTCTCTCTCTAATCCTCTTTCTCATTCTCTTTCTTTCTTCTCTCTTCTCTTCTTATCCCCCCTTCTTCTTTCTCTTATTCTTTTCTTTCTCTCTTTCTCTCTTCTCTAATCTCTTTCTCATTCTCTTTTCTTCTCATCCCCTTTCTTTTATCCCCCCTTTCTTTTTCTCTTAACAGCTTACCTTTTTTCTCTCTCTCTCTTCTCTAATCCTCTTTCTCATTCTCTTTTCTACTTATCCTATTCTTCTCTCTTCTCTTCTTATCCCCCTTTCTTCTTTCTCTTAACAGCTTACCTTTTCTTTCTCTCTTCTCTCTTCTCTAATCCTCTTTCTCATTCTCTTTTCTGCTCTCCTATTCTTCTCTTCTCTTCTTATCCCCTTTCTTTTTCTCTAACAGCTTACCTTTTCTTCTCTCTCTCTCTCTCTTCTCTAATCCTCTTTCTCATTCTTTTCTACTTATCCTATTCTTCTTCTCTCTTCTTATCCCCTTTCTTCTTTCTCTTAACAGCTTACCTTTCTCTCTCTCTCTCTCTCTTCTCTAATCCTCTTTCTCATTCTCTTTTCTACTTATCCTATTCTTCTCTCTTCTCTTCTTATCCCCCTTTCTTCTTTCTCTTAATAGCTTACCTATTCTCTCTCTCTCTCTCTTCTCTAATCCTCTTTCTCATTCTCTTTTCTACTTATCCTATTCTTCTCTCTTCTCTTCTTATCCCCCTTTCTTCTTTCTCTTAACAGCTTAACCTTTTTTTTTCTCTCTCTCTCTTCTCTAATCCTCTTTCTCATTCTCTTTTCCTCTTATGCTATTTTCTTTCTCTTCTCTTCTTATCCCCCTTTCTTCTTTCTCTTAACAGCTTACCTTTTCTTTCTCTCTCTCTCTTCTCTAATCCTCTTTCTCATTCTCTTTTCTACTTATCCTATTCTTCTCTCTTCTCTTCTTATCCCCCTTTCTTCTTTCTCTTAACAGCTTACCTTTTTTCTCTCTCTTCTCGTCTCTCTTTAGTCTGCTTATACTCTTTTCTTCTCTGTTTTTTTCTGCTTATCCCCTTTTTTTTCTCTTACTTCTCAATCATCCACTTCCCCCCTCTCTATCTCTCTCTCTATCTCTCTCTCTCTCTCTTTGTTGCTTATCCTATTTTTCTCCCTATCTTCTTATCTACTTCTTTCTCTCTCTATCTCTATTTATCGTCTTTTTCATTCCCCTTCTTTTAAGCTTCCCAATATTTTTTCTTTCTTTTTTCACGATTTTTCCCCCCTTTACTTCCTTTCTTATTCATTCCTTAAACTTGGTTGTCTTTTGATCGCAATTCTTTTCTTCCTTTACCGTCCTTTATTTTCTTTTTCTTTCTATCTTTATTGAATTTCTATCTTCTTCCTATTCTCTTCTTTCCTTTCTTCATTTGTATTTTTCTTTCTTTTCTTTCTTTTCTTCCCAATTTCTTTCTTTCAATGTCGTAACTAACCTATTTTTCTCTTGCCTCTCTAACCCTATTTATCTATTCAATCCTTCATTTCTATGGAAACTCATAACCCAACCGCCTCTATCGATCATTTTAGATTCAAAACCTTCCAATTGATTTGCGGACAATGTCTAAACATTCATTTTTCTTTCTTTTCTATTTTTTTCTTTTCTTTTTCTTTCGTTTCCCCTTTTTCCTCTTTTTATCTCACCACACATAAATTCTCTCCCACCCCCACTACACACGCTTCTGTTTCAGTTTTCTTCATCCTTCTTGGCTTCAGTCTCATGTTTTAGCGATTTCTCTAATATTGGTGCTACTTTCATTTTCTTGCTGCAGACATCTGTCATTTATCAATATTTTCACAAACCTTTTTCCATTCTTCATTTTTTTCATTCAATTCATTTTCCGTTGTTGGCATCTTTAGCCGATAATTTCAATTCTTTATTTTAAGCCTTTTTCCCGTCAGTTCTTTCTTTCTTTCTTAATATATATTAACGTCTTTCTTTATTTCTCCTGAGCTAGTTTCTTTTTCTCTCGTTTTTTTCTTTCCATCTTTTTCCAAATAGCACTTGCTATTTATCTCATCATTCATTTTCACCTTCTTTCATTTTATAAATGCATTTCCTTAGTATTTCTTTTCGCAGTCTCTCCTGTTAGCATTTCTCTCTTAGTATTTCTCTTCTTTTCTCTTAGTATTTCCTTTCTTTTCTCTTAGTATTTCCTTTCATAATCTCTTCTATTAATATTTCTCTCTTAGCATTTCCTTTTTTTTCTTTTAGTATTTCTCTTCCTAGTCCGTCCTATTAGTATTTCTCACTTAGTATTTTATTTCTTTCCTCTTAGTATTTCATTTTTTGTCTCTTAGTATTTCCTTTCTTTTCTCTTAGTAATTGCTTTCGTAGTCCCTCCTATTAGTATTTCTCCCTTAGTATTTCTAATCTTTTCTATTAGTATATCCTTTCTTTTCTCTTAGTAATTGCTTTCGTAGTCCCTCCTATTAGTATTTCTCTCTTAGTATTTCTATTCTTTTCTATTAGTATATCCTTTCTTTTCTCTTAGTAATTGCTTTCGTAGTCCCTCCTATTAGTATTTCTCTCTTAGTATTTCTATTCTTTTCTATTAGTATATCCTTTCTTTTCTCTTAGTAATTCCTTTCGTAGTCCCTCTTATTAGTATTTCTCTCTTAGTATTTCTAATCTTTTCTATTAGTATATCCTTTCTTTTCTCTTAGTAATTCCTTTCGTAGTCCCTCCTATTAGTAGTATTTCTCTCTTAGTATTTCCTTTCTTTTCTCTTGGTAATTCCTTTTCGTAGTCCCTCCTATTAGTAGTATTTCTCTTAGTATTTCCTTTCTTTTCTCTTGGTAATTTCCTTTAGTAGTCCCTTTCTTTTCTCTTAGTAGTATTTCTCCCTCCTATTAGTATTTCCTTTCTTTTCTCTTGGTAATTCCTTTCGTAGTCCCTCCTATTAGTAGTATTTCTCTCTTAGTATTTCCTTTCTTTTCTCTTGGTAATTCCTTTCGTAGTCCCTCCTATTAGTAGTATTTCTCTTAGTATTTCCTTTCTTTTCTCTTGGTAATTCCTTTCGTAGTCCCTCCTATTAGTAGTATTTCTCTCTTAGTATTTCCTTTCTTTTCTCTTGGTAATTCCTTTCGTAGTCCTCCTATTAGTAGTATTTCTCTCTTAGTATTTCCTTTCTTTTCTCTTGGTAATTCCTTTTCGTAGTCCCTCCTATTAGTAGTATTTCTCTCTTTTAGTTCCTTTCTTTTCTCTTGGTAATTCCTTTCGTAGTCCCTCCTATTAGTAGTATTTCTCTCTTAGTATTTCCTTTCTTTTCTCTTGGTAATTCCTTTTCGTAGTCCCTCCTATTAGTAGTATTTCTCTCTTAGTATTTCCTTTCTTTTCTCTTGGTAATTCCTTTCGTAGTCCCTCCTATTAGTAGTTTCTTATTTCTCTTTTAGTATTTTTCTTTTCCTCTTTTTCTCTCTTAGTAATTCCTTTCGTAGTCCCTCCTATTAGTAGTATTTCTCTCTTAGTATTTCCTTTCTTTTCTCTTGGTAATTCCTTTCGTAGTCCCTCCTATTAGTAGTATTTCTCTCTTAGTATTTCCTTTCTTTTCTCTTGGTAATTCCTTTCGTAGTCCCTCCTATTAGTAGTATTTCTCTCTTAGTATTTCCTTTCTTTTCTCTTGGTAATTCCTTTCGTAGTCCCTCCTATTAGTAGTATTTCTCTCTTAGTATTTCCTTTCTTTTCTCTTGGTAATTCCTTTCGTAGTCCCTCCTATTAGTATTTTCTCTTAGTATTTCCTTTCTTTTTCTCTTGTAATTTTTCGTAGTCCCTTTATTAGTATTTCTCTCTTAGTATTTCCTTTCTTTTCTTTGGTAATTCCTTTCGTAGTCCCTCCTATTAGTAGTATTTCTCTCTTAGTATTTCCTTTCTTTTCTCTTGGTAATTCCTTTCGTAGTCCCTCCTATTAGTAGTATTTCTCTCTTAGTATTTCCTTTCTTTTCTCTTGGTAATTCCTTTCGTAGTCCTCCTATTAGTAGTATTTCTCTCTTAGTATTTCCTTTCTTTTCTCTTGGTAATTCCTTTCGTAGTCCCTCCTATTAGTAGTATTTCTCTCTTAGTATTTCCTTTCTTTTCTCTTGGTAATTCCTTTCGTAGTCCCCTCCTATTAGTAGTATTTCTCTCTTAGTATTTCTTTTCTTTTCTTGGTAATTCCTTTCGTAGTCCCTCCTATTAGTAGTATTTCTCTCTTAGTATTTCCTTTCTTTTTTCTCTTGGTAATTCCTTTCGTAGTCCCTCCTATTAGTAGTATTTCTCTTTAGTATTTCCTTTCTTTTCTCTTGGTAATTCCTTTCGTAGTCCCTCCTATTAGTAGTATTTCTCTTTAGTATTTCCTTTCTTTTCTCTTGGTAATTCCTTTCGTAGTCCCTCCTATTAGTAGTATTTTCTTAGTATTTCCTTTCTTTTCTCTTGGTAATTCCTTTCGTAGTCCCTCCTATTAGTAGTATTTCTCTCTTAGTATTTCCTTTCTTTTCTCTTGGTAATTCCTTTCGTAGTCCCTCCTATTAGTAGTATTTCTCTCTTAGTATTTCCTTTCTTTTCTCTTGGTAATTCCTTTCGTAATCTTTCCTATTACTATTGGTCTCTTAGTATTTCTCTCTTGTATTATCGCTTAGTATTTCCTTTCTTTTCTCTTAGTATTTCCTTTCGTAGTTGTCGACATCGGCTTAATACTATGCTACCATTTTTCCACTTGTCTCTATCATTTTTCGTTTGTTTCATATCGTCGCCATCTTTCATTTGTGTTTACTTTTCATCATCATCATCATCATCATCATTTTCGATTCTTTTTATATTCTTCTTCCTCTTCTTCTCACTTTTTGTGGCCGTCTTTTTCGTTGTCTCTTTCTTCTTCTTCACTGTCTTTTTTCTTTTTTTTCTTGGTTGCCGTCTTCTTCTTCTTCTTCTTCTTCTTCTTCTTCTTCTTCTTCGTTGTCTTCTTTTTCATTCGATTTCCTTATATATTTCTTCTTTTAACTCATGTTTCTCCATTTTCACTTTTCTTCTTCCCTCTCTGTCTTCAATTCGCTATTTCTATCCTTTTCATCATCACCCCCGAATCATCGCCACACCCACAACCCAAATACTCCTGACGGACGATCAGCGTGGGTCAAGGATCGTGTGAGACATGTTCTGCTCGTTCCACTGCGATGTTTTATTCACTCCTTCAGCCGAGGTGAAATGCCCACGACTCTCCTTCGCATACCAATTGTCGACGAACATCCCCATCTACCCTCGATGGAAAGACATACGGGAATTGATCTGGGAAAAGATAGGTAAAAAGAGAAGATTCCCGAAGAGGAGTTAATAAATGGTAAGAAAATTTGGAAATAAGCAAAAAAAAAAAAAATGAAGAAATATTTGTGAGATTGCAATGAATAAGGAAGTCGAAGGAAAGACGAAAGATGGCGACGAATAAAATTTAAGAAGGAGAAAGACTGGAAGGGAATAAGTGAAGGAGAATGAATCGAGAGATTTCTAAGGATAAAAGATCTGAAGGAAAATGTATAGAAATGAATGGAACAAGAAAAAGAAGGAAAATTCAAAGAAAGGAAGAAGAACGATATGAATGAAAAGATAAAAAATTTAAAAAAAAAAAGGTAAAAAAAAGAAAAACTTGGAGACGTCAAGTATAAAAAAACAAACTTACATATAAAAAAAGAAATTAGGCTGGAAAAGAATTATTTTAACGAAGAAAAGAAAAGACAATTTTAAAAAAAAATGAAGAAATATTTGTGAGATTGCAATGAATAAGGAAGTCGAAGGAAAGACGAAAGATGGCGACGAATAAAATTTAAGAAGGAGAAAGACTGGAAGAGAATAAGTAAAGGAGAAGGAATCGAGAGATTTCTAAGGATAAAAGATCTGAAGGAAAATGTATAGAAATGAATGGAACAAGAAAAAGAAGGAAAATTCAAAGAAAGGTAGAAGAACGATATGAATGAAAAAAGATGAACGATTTAAAAAAAAAACAAAAAACAAAAGGTAAAAAATTAAAAACTAGGATACGTCAAGTATAAAAAAAAACTCCGAAAAACTTACATATAAAACAAGAGATTAGACTGGAAAAAAATCATTTTAACGAAGAAAAGAAAAGACAATTTTAAAAAAAAAGCAGAGAGACCTGGGAAACTATCATGATGTTTTATTAGAATATCTTTGGAAACATCTTTGAATTGAATTGTATCTAGGGCTTGACAATATTCTTCATTTCAGATCTGTCTCTCTTTCTCTCTTTCTAATTCTCACTCTATCTTTTAGGTGTTTTTTCTCTACTTACTATTCTATATTCTTCCTTTCAAATCTCTCTCTTTCTCTCCCTCTATCCGTTGTGTGTCTTTCTCAATTCACTATCCTTCTCTCTTTCTCGTTCTCTCTCTATATTTTTTGTGTTTCTCTCCCTCTATCCGTTGTGTCCGTCAATTCACTATCCTTCTCTCTTTCTTTCTCTCTCTATATTTTTTTGTGTTTTCCCTCTATCCGTTGTGTGTCTTTCTCAATTCACTATCCTTCTCTCTTTCTCGTTCTCTCTCTATATTTTTTGTGTTTCTCTCCCTCTATCCGTTGTGTGTCTTTCTCAATTCACTATCCTTCTCTCTTTCTCGTTCTCTCTCTATATTTTTTGTGTTTCTCTCCCTCTATCCGTTGTGTGTCTTTCTCAATTCACTATCCTTCTCTCTTTCTCGTTCTCTCTATATATTTTTTGTGTTTCTCTCCCTCTATCCGTTGTGTGTCTTTCTCAATTCACTATCCTTCTCTCTTTCTCGTTCTCTCTCTATATTTTTTGTGTTTTTCTCTATTCACTATTCTAAATCCTTCACTCAAATCTCTCTCTCTCTCTCTCTCTCTTGTGTGTCTTTCTCTACTCACTATTCTATATTCTTCATTTGAAATCTCTCTTTCTTTTTCCTTTCTCTCTCTCTATCTATTGTGTGTCTTTCTTTACATACTGTTCTATATTCTTCATTCAAATCTCTCTCTCTCTCTCTCTCTCTCTCTCTGTTTCTTCTTCTCTCTATCATTTGTGCGTCTTTCTCTACTCACTATTCTAAATCCTTCATTCAAATCTCTCTCTCTCGCTTCTCCCTCTCTCTTGTGTGTCGTTCTCTACTCACTATTCAATATTGTTTATTTCAAATCTCTTTCTTTCTCCTTCCCTCTCTCAGTCTTTTGTGTGTCTTTCTCTACTCACTATTCTATATTCTTCATTTGAAACCTCTCTTTTTTTCTCTCTCTCTCTATCCATTGTGTGTCTTTCTTTACACGCTATTCAATATTCTTCATTCAAATCTCTCTCTCTCTCTCTGTTTCTTCTTCTCTCTCTATCATTTGTGTGTCTTTCTCTAGTCACTATTCTATATTCTTCATTTCAAATCTCTCTCTCTTTCTCCCTCTATCCATTGTGTGTCTTTCTCTATTCACTATCCTTCTCTCTTTCTCCTTCTCTCTCTCTGTCTTTTGTGTGTCTTTCTCTACTCACTATTCTATATTTTTCATTTGAAATCTCTCTTTCTTTCTCCACCTCTTTCTTTATCTTTTTCGCTTTCTTTACTATGTGTCCGTGCCTCTCCTCGAATCTATCTATCTATCTATCTATCTATCTATCTATCTATCTATCTATCTATCTAAACATGTTCATATCTATCTATCTCATTTTATATGTATCACATTCTGTTCATATCTTTCCATCTAAGGCGTTTTATATATATACATCTAAATGTGTTCTTCATCATTCTGCTTATATCTATCTATCTATCTATCTATCTATCTATCTATCTATCTCACTGTATCTGCCTATCTGTATATCAATCTATCTTATTTCATATCTATCACAGTCTGTTCATATCAGTCATTTTAAGGCGTTTTATACCTATATATCTGTGTGATTGTCTTTCTCTGTCTGCTTCTATCTATCTATCTATCTATCTATCTATCTATCTATATATATATATATATATATATATATATATATATATATATATATATATCTTTGAGAGAAACTGGAAAATTTCGTTAAAAACAAAGAATACTGAACTTTTATTCAATATCTGTTCTCTTCTATTACAGTGAATGCTGGGAAATCTCATCACAGATGAAGAGACTTAAGAAGACAGGAATATGGTTCTACAGACGCCTGCTGAGAATAAAAAAGACTGAACACGTGAGCCACGAAGACGTTTCAGAGAATAAAAAATGGAGACTTGAAATTTCTAGGCTGCATAATGAGAAAAACAGGCTTGGAAAATTTAACATTCGCAAGGCACATTAAAGGCAATAGGAAGAGAGGACGTGTAAATGGTTGGCAGGGCAGGAAGATATACTTTACTAAGAACCACAAAGGAGAGGAAAGTGTAGAGAGCCATGATCGTGGACGTCTTGATGAGACACGGCTCATAGAAGAATATGTGTGAAATAATAAACTTTTACCGAAAATCTTGTGTGGAAGTTAAAAAGTGTAAAGAAAGGCAACGAAGACATGAAAGAGAGAGAGAGGGGGAAAGAAAAAGAAAGGGAGCGACGACATGAAAGAGAGGTGAGGGGGAGAGAAAAAGAAAGGCAACGAAAACATGAAAGAGAGATGTGAGGGAGAGAGAAAAAGAAAGGCGGCGAAGACATGAAAGAGAGAGGGGAGGGGAGAGAAGAAAAGCAACGAAGACATGAAAGAGAGAGGGGGGAGAGAAAAAGAAAGGCGGCGAAGACATGAAAGAGAGAGAGAGGAGGAGGGGAAGAGAAGAAGAAAGGCAAAAAGACATGAAAGAGAGAGAGAGAGGAGGGGGAAAAGAAACAGACAGACATAGTAAGAAACGGGTAGAGAAAGAGAAAGGAGAGAGAGAAAAAGGATAGAGAGAGAGATTTGAAAAGAAAAGGCACAATAATGTGTGAAAGAGGCGAAGTTTTGAACTGCTAGATGTTGAAAGAGAGAGACGAGCAGAGAGTGAGAGACAAATAATGAAGAAAGATAAGCAGAGAGAGAGAAAAAAGTGATAAGAGACGGAAAAAACTGAGAGAGAGAGAGAGAGAGAGAGAGAGAAAATGGATAAAAACTGAGGGCCGAAAAAGAGAGAGGGTAGGGAAACGGTTATATAAAGAGATGTGGGAAGAGAGAGAGAGTGTGTAAAGAGCAATTGATAAAAAACACGAAGTGGGATGGACAAAGAGAGGCACAAGTAGAGGAAGAGTGGAATAAAGGGATAAAGAGGAAGTGGTGGTTGAAAAAACAGATGAGGGAGCCCAGAAAGGAAAAAAAAACTGACATCGAGAGAGAGAGAGAGAGAGAGAGAGAGAGAGAGAGTGTGTGTGTGTGTGTGTGTGTGTGAAAGAAAGAAAGAAAGAAAGAAAGAAAGAAAGAAAGAAAGAAAGAAAGGAAGTAAGAAAGAATATTCTGGTGATTCATGGAGAGAGCGCATGCGCGTGTCTGTGTGTGTAAGGAAAACTAAAGACATGGAAACGCCGAAGAAAAAGCTGCGATGAGAAAGAAAGAAAGAAAGAAAGAAAGAAAGAAAGAAAGAAAGAAAGAAAGAAAAAGAAAAAAGGCAACCTTTTCCTAAGAAAATTAAAATAAAATAGATAAGAAAAGAAAAAAAAAAGTTATTCCCGACCTTGGAGAGAATGAGGAAGAAAGAATAAAACGAAATAAACAAGAGAAAAAGTAAGATGTCGGAATGAAAAGAATGAATTTAGAAGCAGCAAAGAATTGGCACTCATAAAGACCTGGGGTATTTTTTTTTTATTTACTTAGAGACGATGTAATTAATTCTTGAAATTGGCTCGGCTACGAATTTTACAAAGTAAGAAAGTACATTTACAGATCGTTACGATGGTACACCAAGGACGAATCATGCGAAATACGGGGTCGGAACAAAAGTAGTTCGATTTCCAAAGACAATATTTACATATTTTTACTTAGATTTATTTAACCACATATGTGCCATTTTGTTGCACTAACTTTTGCCGCCTTTGAGGCAACTTCATGAGTCCAGTCTGCCAGAAGTTGGCATCTTTCTGGGTGATGAACTAGTCTAAGTGGTTTCTAAAAGCATCCAGTGAATTGATATTCTCCAAACGGATCGGAATAAGAGTAATTCGATGATGATCAGATGAGTACAGTGAATGTAGTAGGAGTTCCCATCCAAGTTGTAGCAATTTTTGCCAGAACTACAAATAGATGTGAGGTTTGGCGTTATTCCGATGGAAGAATGCACTCTCCTGATTGGCCAATTCCAGGCCCTCTTTGGGGAATGCTTTCTTTAATCAGTCCAATTAGGCACAGTATTTGCCAGGATTGTAACTTTAATAGGTCCAATTCAGCACATTATTTATCTGAATTCTGCCTTTAATCGGTCTAAATGGGCACAGTATTTGTCTTAATTCTGTCTTTAATCGGCCCAATTAGGCACAGTATTTGTCTGAATTCGGACTTTAATCAGTTCAATTAGGCACAGTATTTGTCTGAATTCTGTCTGTAATCGGTCCAATAAGGCACAGTATTTGTCTGAATTTCGGTCCAATTGGGCACAGTATTTGTGTGAATTCTGACTTTAATCGGTCCAATTAGGCACAGTATTTGTGTGAATTCTGTCTGTAATCGGTCCAATTAGGCACAGTATTTGTGTGAATTCTGTCTGTAATCGGTCCAATTAGGCACAGTATTTGTGTGAATTCTGTCTGTAATCGGTCCAATTGGGCACAGTATTTGTGTGAATTCTGAGTTTAATCGGTCCAACTGAGCACAGTATTTTTCTGAATTCTGTCTTTAATCGGTCCAATTAGGCACAGTATTTCTCCGGATTGTTCCCTTAATCGGTCCAATTGGGCACACTATTTGTCTGAATTCAACGCCTAATTTTCGCAGTATGCAATATCCTGCCAACCCCAGCAGAGTAAATCACCTTCGAATGCAAACCAATTAACAGTGGTACATTGCATTTTCTCCAGGACCATTTTACATCTCTTTGTTGTAACCAATCCATTTTTCAACACCCATCATCATTGTTTTCATAAACTGAACGTTTTTTTTGGTTGCATTTGAACAGAGAATCATAGATAGAAATACATTTCATTCATTTTTCCGTTAAATCGTGAGGCGGCTAAACATTCACGCATCCAAACAAATTATGTGGAGTATCACTGCGATGTCCCGCGTCGTGTGTCCGCTTTTATCAATATACAGCCTGTAGACCGCAAGATCAAATTTTGCACTTGTTAACCTTGCGAACCGCTTACGGGTAGTACCGTCAGCTCTTGCGCAATCTCCTTAACATATTTTTGGTGGGTTGAGCGGGGTATTTTCCTTCCTGGTAATTAAAGAACGACAAATGATCAATAAAAATAAGTTTTGAAATATCACATTCCAGAATTCGTTATATGGTGATTATAGAACGAGTGTTGAAATATCACATTCCAGAATTCGTTATATGGTGATTATAGAACGAGTGTTGAAATATCACATTCCAGAATTCGTTTTATGGTGATTATAGAACGAGTCTTGAAATATCACATTCCAGAATTCGTTATATGGTGATTATAGAACGAGTGTTGAAATATCATATTCCATAATTCGTTATATGGTGATTATAGAACGAGTCTTGAAATTTCACATTCCAGAATTCGTTATATGGTGATTATAGAACGAGTGTTGAAA